CACACGGAAGCACTGCTATCATCTTAAAAAAATATAGAAAACATAATGAAGAAAATAGTTTTCAAGATATTGATATACAATCCACCACGATAAGTATTAGTGACTGGAGTGGGACTTTTACAGTAAGTGCCCTTTATTGTCCACCAAGATTTAACATTAATAAAACACGCTGTGAATCCTTCTTTAACAATTTCGACTCAAGGTTTACATCAGGGGGAGACTTCAATGCAAAACACACCCAGTGGGGTTCAAAGCTAATTACCACTAGAGGACGAGAACTTCATCTCAATACACTTCAGCAGCACGGCAGCACTTCATCTCAATACCATTTCCACAACAGAACCAACATCCTGGCCAACGGACCCAAATAAAATACCAAACTTACTTGACCTTTTTGTTGTAAAAGATACTTTATCTGGATAATACAGTATAGAAGCATTGTATGAACTATCACCTGATCATACACCTATCACAGTTACTGTTAGTACTGAGTTACTTCTACGCTCCGCTCCTGTTATTCTCACCAATAGAAAAACTAACTAAACTAGCTGGTATGAACATCAACGATGGATATCCCACAACACTAGAATTCAGGTGCCTATGAAATCTTCAGATGACATTCATGAAACCACTGAGTGTTTCACGCAAAGCATTCAGAATGCTGCGTGGCATGCTACGCCGCAAAAAATCTTTCTTAAAAACTTTACTGTTTTCGAATCAAATTGTCAATAAATTTTGCCCTCCTTTTGGAGGTTCAGAAGAATATGGCAAAGTTCAAGATATCCAATAGACAAAATAAACTACAATAGACAATTGAACAAACTTCTAAAAAACTATAACAACGGTAAATTTCAAGATTATATATCTAACCTCCCACCAACAGATGCCTCTGATTATCCTTTATTTAAAGGCACGTGAAATCTAAAACAACCGTAGAAATCCGAACCTCCAAATAGAGACAAACGTATGAGAGAGCAACATCATACCGGATCATCAATTTAGATTTCATCAGCAACACTCTACCATAGAATATAGGTATTGTGGTGAGTTATCGTTGGCATTTCTAATGAAATAATTATATGCTTCGTCATTGCCAACAATATTAATATTGAAATGAAATCCCAGATCTCCTTTCTATAAAATCCAGAGTGCCTCAAGGAAGTGTTCGTGGACCGGTACTATCTTGATATATTCAGCAGATATCCCGGAGGCTGAAAAAAGCGAATTATTGCCACTTTTGCCGATGATACAGCTATATTGGCTTCTGACAATGATTCTCGAGAAGCATTAGATCACCTTTCAACACTTGAATAACGATAGAGCAAGTGGAAAATGAAGATAAATGAAAGAGGAGAGAGAGACGGAGAGAGAGACGGAGAGAGAGACGGAGAGAGAGAGAGAGGCGGAGAGAGAGGCGGAGAGAGAGAGGCGGAGAGAGAGAGGCGGAGAGAGAGAGGCGGAGAGAGAGAGAGGCGGAGAGAGAGAGAGGCGGAGAGAGAGAGAGGCGGAGAGAGAGAGACCACTCCTTCCGCCTCTCTCTCCCGCCCGTCTTCTCCGTTTCTCCCGCTCTCTCTCCCGCATCTCGTCTCCGCCTCTTCTCCGCCTCTTCTCTCTCTCGCCCTCTCTCTCTACTCGACCTCTCTCTCTGCCCCCGCCTCTCTCTCCGCCTCTCTCCTCCGCCTCTCTCTCTCCGCCTCTCCTCTCTCGCGCCTCTCTCTCTCGCCTCTTCTCTCTCCGCCTCTCTCTCTCGCCTCTCTCTCTCTCGCCTCTCTCTCTCGCTCTCTCTCTCCGCCTCTCCTCTCTCAGTCCTCTTCTCTCTCCTCGCCTCTCTCTCTCCGCCTCTCTCTCTCCAGCCTTCTCTCTCCCGCCTCTCTCTCTCCTCCTCTCGTTCCCTCTCTCTCATCCGCCTCTCTCCCTCTCTCCTCCGGCCTCTCTTCCCCTCTCGCTCCTCCGCCTCTTCTCCCCTCTCTCCCTGCTCTCTCTCTCCCTCCCTCCGCCTCTCTCTCTCCGCTCCTCTCTCTCTCCGCCTCTCTCTCCTCCTCGCTCTCTCTCCCTCCCGCCTCTGCTCTCTCCGCCATCTCTTCTCCGACCTCTCTCTCTCCGCTCTTCTCTCCTCTCTCTCGCGCTCTCTCTCTCCACTCTCATCTTCTCTCGCCGTCTCTCTCCGCGCTCTCTCTCTCTCCGCCTCTCTCTCTCCGCCTCTCTCTCTCCGCCTCTCTCTCTCGCCTCTCTCTCTCCGCCTCTCTCTCTCCGCTCTCTCTCTCCGCCTCTCTCTCTCCGCTGCTCTCCTCTCGTCCTACCTCTCCGCTCTCTCGTCCCCTCTCTCTCTCCCGCCCTCTCTCTCCGCCTTCTCCTCTCCCATCTCTCGTCTCATCTCTCGCTCTCTCTCTCCGCCTGCTCTCTCTTTCCGCTCTTCTCCGTCTTCTCTCTCCCCTCTCTCTCTCTCTCCGCTCTTCCTCCTCTCTCTCTCCGCTCTCTCTCATCCCTCCGACATCTCTTCTCTCCGCCGGGCCTTGGCTCTCATCTCTCCGGTCCGCTCCTTCCTCTCTCTCATCCCTCCGTGCTCTCTCTCTACGTTCTTCTCTTCCTCTCCTCCGGCCTCTTCATTCTCTCCTCTGCTCGTCTCCCCCCAGTCTTCCGTGGCTCCTCTCTATCTTTCTCGTTTCTCCGCCTCTCTCTCTCTCAACGCCTCTCTCTCTACCTTCCGGCTCTTCAAACCCGTCGCTTGCGCTCTTCGGCGTTCTCTCTAGCTCTCCTTGTTCTCTTCCTCACTCTACTCTCCACGGCTGTTCTGGCTCAATCCATTCAACCTCTCTTCAATCCCGACACGCTGGCTTCACATCTTCTTTAGTCTCCTCAATCCCCCAATCTCTTCCAGTGATATTCTCTGTCTTCATCTCCCTCATACCTAGTTCCCACCAGATCGGTCTATCCTCGAACACTCCATCATCTCCAGTCTGTCGGTGCGACGGCTTCCCTTCTCTCTCTCCTTCCATCGCACCTTCTCTCTCCCCCTCACATTTCTATCTCATCGATTGGTCTCGCGTCCATGATCTGCAGCTATTCTCACTCTCGACCCATGTCTCTCCACTCGCCGCTCCTTCTCAAGTCTCTATAGCGGTATCCCAAGTCCTCCTCTTCACGTTCTATCTCTCTGTCATGGTCTCTACAAGATAACTTCTATCTTCATTCTCCCTAATCTCTCTTACTCCCAGGGCCGGCGTTCTCATACGGCGTCCGTGTAGATCTCTCAGATCTAGGATGTCTAGATTTCTCTCTGGCTCAGCTCCGCGACCTCTGCGCACTATCAATGGGGTCCTCCTTCCGCACTTTCCTGCGGCCTCATAGCTCATTTCTCTGTCCAACCAATCAGTAGATCGCGAGGACCGAATACAAATTATTTGCTTTAGACTATTACGATTGAAATTGTAAAATGGATTCTATGCCCCTGTCGTATTTCACGCCGACGATAACGACCGCGTGTCCCCTGCGAAAGAGGAAGCGGTACCCTAGAATTAGTTAAACGAGGTAACAGACCCGCG